CGGGGGGGGGGGGGGGGGGGGGGGGGGGGGGGGGTACTGTAGCTGTCAAATTACCTGATGCTTGAAATTATGTTTCACGTTATCTACATGCAAGAAATGCAGCCTAGACCTAGGCCTTCTATTTTTATTTATATGTTTTTAATATTCAGCGCTTTTTCACATGAAAAGACTGGGACTAGGTGATTTGGGGGCGGGGCGGAGGAAGGACACAAGCCTGACTTCCTCCGCCCCGCCCCCAAATCACCTAGTCCCAGTCTTTTCATGTGAAAAAGCGCTGAATATTAAAAATATATAAATAAGACTAGAAGGCCTAGATCTAGGCTGCAAGAAATGTTTGAAATTTAGTGGTTTTTCATTACCACTGTCAATACAAGAATAGCGGGTGTTTCAGTCGAAAAAATATATATTAACATAATCTACTAGGGGGGTCGGGGCAGCATTTCAATATTTAGGCCCCCAGAAATCCAGGAATGCAACTAACATTTTGCATTATTAGCCTGCGTTCACTTTCAACTTCCACGTTTGTCTGTCAATGCTCTTATAATTTATCTAAAAATCAGCTCAAAATCATCGGTCGCCACGACGGTTCTGAGAAACAGCTAAAATTTCTGAATTAGTTGTCATCGTCTCTAAAATTGATACTTCTTCATTATTAGAGAAAATATCAGCCAATGAATGAAAATGAACCTATTTTACATCCCTGGGGTACACCAGCATTAACTTCGACAACATCGGACAGCTCTTACCCAAAATCAACAACTAACGATAAAAATGCCTTTTTATTACATTTCCAATAAGAATCGGCAAGGATTCTCAAAGGATCGACGGTTTAAATATACAATGGATTACAACCAGTAGCGTAGCCAGCCCGGCGATTTAATTTAGTCCCGCTATGCAAATATTTTCTCGTTCATTGACTGTGAAAACAATCAATATCTAAAAAAATGAATAATGATAATAATTTTGAGTTTGCATAGCGGGACTATAAACTGTCGGGCTGGCTACGCCACTGATCACAACAAACTTTTCCAGATCTATCGATCTATACTTGGCCCATAAAATGGCCGCCAGCAGGAATTTGATCATGCAGCAATACTATATGATGTGACACTAATTATTAAAACTCAGACAACAATGTATTATTATCAATGAGGTCGAAGTCTTTGGAGAAGTCGAAGAATACACCGAGAATGACTAGAATTCTCCAAAGCACCCAATTATGAAACATTTTATTTTACACAGCTAGCTACAGTTGGTGACGAAGCAGGGATTCCACCAAACTATCGTCTGTTAATTTAATCTTTTAACTTTTTTGCGTCCTCTAACATCCATTCCGAAGCATAAATAGTTTGACACAATACTATTTTTTGCTATTGGTCTTACATTCTCTAATTAACCCTCTCTAAGTCTACAAGATTTGATCTTATGAAATGGGCCAAATTACTGTTATACGCATTCCAAATCTTCCCAAAGTTTTTCCCCGGAAAGAAGCGAAATAATGAATTAGTGCCGGCCGGATATCTGCATGTGAGTGGAGTGGAAAATTCATTGGCAAAACGTACGTCTTATCGGCATTCTTTGCGGTCGATCAAAAGGACTTATTTGTCCTATAGTTAGCCAGCATGCAGCGTTAGACCTTTACCGGTCATCATATATTCATCAAAAATATTTCTAATCTGTCATAAATTTGTTCACTTTACCAATGAAAATGTATAATAATCCCAGGTAGCGCTGACGTGAAGTATCGCACTTGTCTCTAGGTGAAGTCGATCCAAGTTAACAACTCGATTACACGTCGTTTGAAAGCTACGACAGTCATAATATTATACACAACGCCTTTATTTTAAAAGGTTAATATGTTCCTCCAGATCTGTTTTTAATATGCGCATACGCAGGTATTTTATTGAAGTGAAATTCGTCAACTTGAGTCTTATAACGTGACTCCAAGGCTTATGATTCAGAACAAACTAACAGTCTAAGGCCCCGTTTACATGAGACCGGCCGGACGAAGTCAAACCGGAATGAAAATTAAAATTATCAACATGTTTACATGAGATCGGTACGAAAATCACAACATTTTCAACTATTTATTCCCCTTGCCAGGCAATTTTCTATTTTAGATAGCTTTTGTTAGCATGTGTTGTTCCAATGTCAAGCGGTTACAGCCGAGACTGGTCTGAAATGTGATTTGTGTTTACATTCATTCCGGTCTGAATTCATGCCGGTGTCCCAGTTGATTTGGACCCCCGTAGATTTGGACCCCCGGTCCATATCCACTAGTACATTTGGACCCCCCGGTCCAAATCTACTAGTGGATATGGACCCCCGGGGGTCCAAATCTACTAGTATATATGGACCCCCGTTGGCGGATTTGGACCCCCCTTCAAAAGTTAAATATATGTAATGTGAACACAATAATATAAACCAAATTCATAATAGCGATCAATCTGAAGTATTTTATCACTTTAAATATTTGTGATAAAGGCCACAAAACGTAGAAAATATATAGTCTTTGCCAACAACGAATCTGCTAATGGTTTTTAACAAAAGCGATAGAAATTGCATATAGCATTTGGATCGACACGAAACACGATTTTCATGAATGTTTTTAAACAATAAGTGATGGTGCGGGATTAGATATCTTGTGCGAGAAATGGCTTCACATCAAATGAGAGAATCTCGAGGCATTTCCAGATGAAGATGAATGGCTTTGTAGAGCATGTCGACCTTTACCAACGGAATTAGTACCGAAAATTGTGAACAGATTTTTATCTATTCTGGTCATATAAACGCCATATTACGTATATACACGAGTTTTTAGCGTGTTTATTTATCCTTTTATAGTTGTATACATACTTTCCATTTGGACCTTTATTTGTAGTTTAAGATTTTTGAATTTGGATCTCACTGGCAATAAAAAAAGTTTTCTATTCACAATAAATGACTATGTGTGGTTGATAAGCAGGTCCGGGTATCTGAAAACTAATGAATTTAACATATTTACTGTTATTGGTGTTGTTTTTAGTATATAAAAGTGTCTAAAAAAGGGGGTCCATATCCGCTAAAGGGGGTCCATATCTACTAGGATATTTGGACCGGGGGGTCCATATCTACTAGGAGATTTGGACCGGGGGGTCCAAATCTACTGGGGGGTCCAAATCCGCTGTAACACCGGTCTGAGTTATTTTCTTTCGGGTCGCATGTAAACATCTATTATAAATAATACTATGACCGAAACGAAATGGTCCCGGTTTGACTTCGTCGGAGTTCGTCCCTAAACAAACTATTTTCGATTTGTTCGGGTCTCATGTAAACATCTATTATAAATAATACTATGACCGAAACGAAATGGTCCCGGTTTGACTTCGTCGGAGTTCGTCCCTAAACGGGGCCTAAAAGGCTGTTCATACGAGTCGGACCAGCCGGGAAGAATAGCGTCACAAATTTTTTTTCCTGACCATAAACGATCGTTTGAATGAACTTTTTACACCGTTAGTAGATTCAACCGAAGCTAATTCAATTTTGAATTGTTGAAAATGTCAGTATGTTGATGTTTATCAAATTCCGGCCCCCAACCAACCTCGTACCCAGGGACTAATTTCCTCTTGGGGAGCAAAGACCCTGGTAGACGCTGGTCGCGTGATCTGCTAAAATCTAGCAGATTTCTAATTAGCAATCCAAGATCAGGTCAATAAACATTTGATATTTGGATTATTTTGATAGTTTACTTTATAATTTGCATTTTGTATGATTGTCGTAAAGAAAACCAAGATAGTTAATTAAAAATCTGCTAGATTTTAGCAGATCACGTGACCAGCGTCTACCAACGAAGTTGTCCCCCAACAAACTTCGTTTGAGCACCGCAATTTCATGTCGTTGTATTGAATAATTACGAGGAATTTTTTTGTATGTCGCGCATTTGCAATGAAAATCGCGTACTTCTCAAAATTATTGCTTTAGCCTTTATTCTCTAGTTTATATACATGCAGTTAGCTGCCTTTAAATGCATTTGCCGGTTGAGAAACTATAATACTATAATAACTATAATACCAAAATAAAAAATTATCAATTAAAATACAATTTTCAATGTTCAATTTAATTAAAAAGTGACGTTATATTTACGGCAACATTAGCAAGACATACTGAACTTTAGATATAATTTTCTGTATGGCGTACCATGCATCCAAAATCTCTTCATTTTCACATTATTTTTCAGATAAAGTTTGTTTGCCGATCGAGAAAGTATCGAAAAATAAATTTAAATTTGAGTGGCAAAGTAAAAATAGTTGATTAATAACAAACATGGCGCCAAAACAAGACTGTGTAACTCACTGCGGTTGTTGCTTTTGTTTGAGCACTTTGAAGAGTTATAATGGACGGTCCAAAGCTGCGTAGCAGTCGGTTGAATATAAGAAATCTTTGCTACCCAAAGTGGCGGATTATTTTTGATGACGCCCCGGTGAATACCATGGCAAGAAATTTTGGACATTTGCCTATTAAACCAGAGCTCGTTCCCAGTCCCCAGAAATTTCAGCGATAAATGGTTGAAAATCGCCAAAATTATGAACAAAACCGTATATTAGAGATTATTCTTCTAAAAAGTAGGAACGGATACATAAAATATGTTCATAATTCTATCTATAAACGTCAAAATTCGCCGAAAAATGAATAATATGCTAGGGGCAAAATCGTTTCGAAACTTTGTAATCCGATAGAATAAATCTCTATGTTGTGACGCGAAATAGGTGCGCGGTCAGACGAAAAAGCGGCATATCCCAATCGGAACATGCGTAGTCTCAAAAGTAGGAGCAAATTCAGAATCGCTTCACTGTGATGAGCATTTCGATACTAAATTATTGTTGTTTCGTCCTAAATATCTGGGGGCAAAATGCGTATTTCTTCAACCAAGTCTGCGTGTAAACACAGGCGCTATCTGCGCATTTGGTTGTTCGTATATTGCCTGGTTTTAAAGAATTCTCGCTCAACTGGACGTATAATTAGCACATCATAAAGCCTAAACCAAAGATAAACGATTGCGCAGCATATTCCTTGAGTTTCAGAGTCAGTAAAAGGATGCTAACGTCGTTTGTTGTTGTATATGGAAACTCGCAAAGGCCAACATTGCAGACCGCTGTGGGAGATCTGGCCTGATGTATCGCATTTCTTGATATAGCAGTATTTGCATTTTATTATATATTATATCCCTCCATGCATTTATTTGGACTTTATATTTATGTTTATATCAATTCAGA